GTATTTGCTTCTCAAAGGGACAGGTGGAGAACAAAATGTATTGTTGTGTTCATGTCTTCACATGTGAAGTTGACAATGGGAACAAGTACTGCAAGCAGGTGAGAATAGAAATAAGTATTTCAATCAAAAGAGGATGTGTTGATATGTGGCTTTACTGCTTATAAATCTGGATGTTGAGTTGCATATTATTGAAATGCCTTAGTGAAAACTTTACATAAAAAATTATTAAAATTACTATGTATATGACCAGAGTTTAGATTTGATTTTGATTGCCTAGAGGGGAGATGTCAGGTGGAGACAATGAAAAGCAATATAGGTGAAACTGATTAACCAATATGCTTTTGAAGTGAGAAATGTATGAGATCAGTAGAGAAAGGAGGTCTAATTTTCCTCTCCCCCTCAATTTTGTGCAAACTCAAGTATTTGACAGGTTTTTTGGTTTAGTTTCCACCAAAGGGGACAGGTAATAAGTAGCTCTATTGATAAATATATATACCTTTAAAAAAGAGGATGAAGGGAATGGTTAAATTGATGATTCCCAAAATGTGGTCTGCAGCTAATATGCAGAGCCATAGTTAGCATTAGCAGTTTGGAGCTTCTCAACAGTAGACAATGGTATTCAGTGAGAAAATCTGCTATTTGAAACAGTTTGAAAGCATTTGTTAAAATATTAGGTAACAATGAACGAAGATAATTCACTCAACAGCTAGCTGATGTGATCAGTGACTTGCTGAAAGTTGCCATTAAAAACTTCTGGGTTTTTACAGTCTCGAAAATCTGGAAAAGGGTAAGCTTTTGGTTCACCTTCTACAATAGAGGTGTTAGCTTATGCTGATATAAAATAACCAAATTTATTAATGAACTGGTGTCTGAGCACTAAACAGATAGCAAGGTGGTCATTAGCCTTCTATTTGATAAAGTAGTTTGGAGGAAGAAGAGTAACTTAAAAAACTTCAACCGCAGTCCATATGACTGCAGCCAGATAGTAGGAAGAAAATTTCCAGCTAAAGGTTACTTTGGAAACATCTGCCTATGGCTTCTACTGTTTTAAGTCCAGGCATGCAGATGCAGATGCCTGGAGTAGTTTAGTTATGCTTGCCTTGCCACATAACAGGGGCCAGGAGTAGGTCTTCTGTCAGGAACCTTTCACCACAGTATTTTTCTGGTTTTTTTTCAGAGCTGCTTTTCATTTGTGAGGAAAATTAGGACGGAGAACAAAACTGGGAGCTTGCTTTGAAGGTTTTGAAGGCTTTTTGACTTGAGTAGTAACTAAAACCATATGCATAAAAGAGAATAATTATTATCTTGGGAACCTAAGCCAGCCTGCTGTTCATTTTACATCAACGCCAGTTTCTGTACCTCTTTACTCAAAATGAATGATGAAATTCCCATTGCCTTCAGTACTGTTGCTTGAAAGTCTGATGTCTGGTCTTTGACTTGGTTGTCTGTTTGAGTTACTGTTATGTGTGAAGTGTTATTTACCTGCAGTTTATGTATCTAAAAAAATATATGCAGGAACATCATAAAAGGGAAACTGTCAGTAAATCAGAGCAAAATTATTTTTCCCTTTTAGAAGAGATATATGTTTGTTTGAAAAGGGCAAGAGCAAGAACCAGCTTAGTTTTCACAACTCAATTTTGTCTTTGTTAAGAAAAAGTATTTTTGCTTTATTAACTTTTTTCTTCTTTCTCCTTGTAATTCTGACCATTATCAGGATTTCTTCAAAGTATGCACCTGATGCTTTAGGTGCATCAGGTAGTTGGCAGCTCCATTACTGAAGGCAGCAGAAACCTGTTAAGGAAAGACTGAATTAACAGGTGTTTCTTCAAGCTGTAAGTTGCTGAGGAGAGTTATAAGATGTCTTGAAGCACTGCTGTATGGAAAAAAAAGGAGTATACTTTTATTAATATCCATGATTCTTGGACCAGCAGCGATGGCTTTATACTTCTGCAAAAGCAATAGAGGGAAGACATTAGCAAAAAAGAATAAAGCAAGGCAAATGAAGAATTAAAACATATCTCCAAGACGGGGTGCAGAATCTTAATGGCTGGAGACCTTTAAAAATGAGGAAGACATGCTCTTTCCCCAAAGCAGGTACCTTGTGTACTTTGTGTAACAGATGTGTGCTGCTATCATAATATGAAATAAGGACAGACAACTCCAACAGCTTTGTTAATTTGGCTTTTGTTCTTAAGGTAGAAAACAAACACATCAGACAGTAGTAGTTAAATATATACAAGCATTACTTGTACAAAAAGTTATATAAATTCAAGTTTGCTGTTCTGTTTTCTCTTTCAAGATTCCTAAAATAACCAGCAATCCTTATCTTACTGAGATGCTGCCAAGTCACAATTCAGAAGACAGACATGTGATATTAAATCAACACAGTGGCCTCTCCAGATCAGATCCTTCATGTTTATCCTGTGCACAGTTGCACAGATACTATGGAACATGTGATCACCTTAACATGTTTTGCTTTTAAACAAAAGAAAATACTTCCCCAAATACTTTGCTTTTTGTTAACTAATGTATCAGAATTTCCATCACATCGTCATCATCATCATTGTTATTATTATGTTATTAAGGAATTGTCCTTCATTCCATGCATAACTACTATTTCACAAGTTAAAAACATCGTTCCTTCCTCGTGTCATGGTTCATAAAGCACTCTGTGCACAGTGAAGCAGATCCCCAATTAAATGCAAGCGCTATTAAAATGAAGAGAAATACACTATTACTGTTGATTTTAGAGGAACAGAATTCTGGGGAGATTTAAAAAAATGCCAAAATAGTTTTATCTGTACAATTATTAATATTGCACTTTTTATACAAGAAATTCTAATAAATATACAGAAAAGATACACATTTACATACATAGAAAAGAATTATTCATTTTTAAATAAAAAAATTACACTGGTGGTTAGCAACATTATTTCTTGAAAACCCATTTGTACTAAGAGCATTCATTGCCAGTTGTGTTTTGAAATAAGCCAGTTTGAGACAGCTTAATGTCATGAACCTGACACTGACCTCAAAAACAGACTCCCAGTTTTGCTGAAAAATCCACACGTCACAGAAATTGCAGCATAGCAGAACTTGAACAGCATTTCATTAGCATACCACAACACACTAGCACTGCCAGGGGTTACAGAAGAGGCACAACCACTCTCTTTAATTTAGAGGTCTTGAACCAAAACCTGATATCCAGGTAGTTCTTCAAAGCCCCACAATTCTCAACCCCCTACTTTGCAGGTTTTCCTCCAATTTTGGGGCCCTATTTTAAGCAGAGCAGAGAATGCACAGAACTTAAAGCATGAAGCACTTCACTGGCTGAATAACCACTGCAGCTGGCCAGGAGGAAAGACTCACAACCTGCATGCAAAATTGTGCTGCGGGTGTGATGTTTGAGTCCCATTTTTTAGATTGTATCTTCAAGGTGTTATACATGGACTTAAATATCTGTAGCTTGTTGTGTATCTCACAACCTGTTTTGTTGTGAGAGGCAGCTGGAGAGGAGCAAGTTTGTTAAAAATTATTTGCATTAGTACCCTGGGGCTGATGCTTAATCCATTCTGTTTCTACTGACTGGGAACAACTATGAGAAATCAGAATCAAGCTCTTTTCTACTACATGTCCAAAAGGCTTCACTGTCATGAGAGGGAAATTTTAGCATTATTAACATTTAGCATTATTTAGTATTAGTACGTTAGGAAAACTCACTTTTTCAAGTTCCTTTCCAAAACTCCAGGCCTGAAAGCACCTGAACTCTGGGAAATGGTACTCCTCTCTTTTCTAAATAAGTGTTAGTAGGATGAACTATGCAAAGTATCGCCTGTTACCACAGACAGTTTCTATCTTTCCTGTCTGTGCTGATTAGGGAACAGCATTTGCAGGTTTGTACTACAGTCTGTCAAGCAGATCATACTTTCTCTCCTTTGCCTGGATAATAATTAACATCATCACCTCACCTCTGTGCTGAGGGCAACCCTTCAATCCCCAATTCTCCCTCACAAGCTCAAATTTGGAACATTTTCAGGTGTCTTTTAGATCCACTTATAGATCATTGTTCAACTTCCCCAGATACCAGATCCTCAAAGATCACAAGGATGTCCCACTGAAATAATTTCCAGGCCTGATGTGAGAAGGAGAGAGTGGTTTAGAAATTAAAAAGAAGGGCTACAATCTTGGATGTAACAAATAAGTTTACAAAGCAGAATCATACGCTTATGTTCTCAAGGTAGTCTAAGACGGATGAAGTATCCGTATAATGCACAGTTTAGTTTAGCCTTTTTTTTTTCTCCAGTACACTATGACCAGTCAAACTGAGGGGATTGAGTGCATCCTCGGTCAGTTTGCAGATGACACCAAGTTAGGTGGGAGTCTTGGTCTGCTGGAGGGAAGGAAGACTCTGCAGAGGGGTCTTGACAGACTGGATTGGTGGGCTGAGGACAACTGCATGAAGTTCAACAAAGCGAAGTGCTGGGTCCTGCCCTTGAGCCACAACAACCCCATGTAACAATGCTACAGGCTTGGGGAAGAGTGGCTGGAGAGATGTTCAGCAGAAAGGGACTTTAGGAGGGCTGGTCAGCAGCATGAACATGAGTCAGCAATGCCCAAGTGGCCAAGAAGGCCAATGACATCTTGGCCTGGATCAAGAATAATGTGGCCAGCAGGACCAGGGAAGTGATTGTACTGCTGTACTTGCTGCTGGTGAGGCTGCACCTCGAATCCTGTGTTCAGTTTTGGGCCCCTCACTACAGGGAAGACGCCAAAGTGCTGGAGCATGTCCAGAAAAGGGCTACAAAACCAGTAAAAGGTCTAGAAAACACATCCTATAAGGAGCAGCTGAGGGAGCTGGGGTTGTTCAGCTGGGAGAAGAGCAGGCTCAAGGAGTATGTCATTACTCTCTACAACTGCCTGAAAGAAGGTTCTGGTGCAGTGGAGATAGGTCTCTTCTGTCACATTTCAAATAGAAAAGACGAAAGGAAATGCCCTCAAATTGTGCCAGGGGAGATTCTGATTAGATATTAGAAAAAAAAAATCACTGAAAGAGTGGCTAGGCATTGGATTAAGTCACCCAGGGAGGTCATGGAGTCACCATCAGAGTGTTCAAGAGGCATCGAGATGTGGCACTTGGGGATATCGTTTAGGGATGATTATAGTGGTGCTGAGTTGATGGCTGGACCAAGTGATCCGGAAGATTTCTACCAACCTTCATGATTCTGTGATTCTGTAATGTGATGCTAGGTCTTTACTCTAGTCCTCTACCTTACCTGTCTCTTGGCGTATCCCCCAGGCATGCACATGGATAATGGGGAAGCCCCACTCTTCTCATGCCCATTTCTGGTGGCATTGGTCTCTCTGACTCTTTATGGTCTACCCTCATGACCATGTTTTGCTGCATTCTGTCTCCCAGATTCATAAAAGGGAAAACTTTTCAAGACCCTTTACAACAATGATTTGGTAAAAGATGTTCCTTTTTTTTCTTTTCTTTTAAAGGGAAATAAATAAATAAAATGAAAAAGATATTTCCATTCCATTTGTTTTTTCTGCAAAAGCCCTTGCCTCAGTGAAGCAAAGCTGTGATCCCCTTGTTCCTCCATTTTCATTTTGTCTGTCTTCAAGATTTTCCACAAGTCCCACAGCAACGTGACTTAAACTGGGTGAGCTGGCAGAGTTTGAGCTGCTTCACTTTCTCACAGTACCTTGTAGTGTCTCTGCACTCCACTGCCAAAGGGGAAACAAAAAGAAGAAATGGTGATGAAACAAGGAAAGAAGGATTCCTTACCTGAGGACATTTCCTTGGGTGACCAAGAGGAGAACCTTTGTATTGGGAGGTCTTACTACAAACATGAACTTGACTTGCTGCAAAGACTGACTGGACTGCAAGTAGCCAAAGGCTCAAAGGAGAACATGTTGGGCATCGTTTGCTTTTGGAGCTTGGGCAGAGGGCTTCTGAGGCTGCTCCAACCCTGTGTTTGTCATCTACGAGCATTTTAGAGAGGCTCTAGGAGTTTCCTAACAGTCGATAAAGCAAATATGAAGTAGTAAATAAAACTGGAAGCTTACTTTAACAGAGTAGCTCAGAGACACTTTGGCCTACCTCCTACATTTGATGAGCCAGTGTGTGGGAGTGTCACCTCAGCTTACCTGGTGTTGTGTTGTGTTTTTTACATGTGTTCCAGAACACAGCCCAGTATGAAGATGTTAAGACACTTTTTGAATCCCCCTGGGGCTTAGATCCTGGTAACACTTGGACAGGTTTTGAGCCCACCGCCTCCTGCTTTTTAGCTCCAGGCTGGAAAACTGTCCAGTATCCCTACAAGATGTTGGGTGGGTTGTTGCCTGAGGGAGTCCCACTTCCCATGCCAAGGATGGAAACGGGAAACATTACAGGGCAGTTGTACAGCTCTCTCCAGTTATGTCTGTGCCAAATAACTCCAGTGTTATTTATATGTGGGACATTTCCATGTAGCAGAAAGAGGGTGGAGTGACAGCAAAGGTCTTGCTTGGTACCTGTAAGTTCCCTTGTCCCTTCAACTTCCATTAGGATCCCCCAAACTCATCATGAGTTTGGACCTATGTAGTCCACTTTGCCTCTACTGAGAGGCAGTGTCAGAGACGGTATGACATAGGCAAGCACAGTGATTCTGTTGCTGCATCTGCAATGATTGCACAGCTTGCAATTTAGAGGATGGGAGCATCATTTCCAAACTGGTATATCTGTTCTCTTTAGTTGGTATGTTTTTTTTAAATATTAGTAACTTTTCTAGTCCTTCGGCAGGTCCAATTTGTTGCCCATCACCTGAAAGAAACCAGATTTGCCTGGATTTCCCACTATCGACCTACTTACTGTATTTGGACTATAGCCATAAGTTTGATTGTGATTCATGTTTTTCTTTCCGTCTGTACCATTAACTGAAAGTTAATCATAGAACCATAGAATGGTTTGGGTTGGAAGGGAATCTTGAATATCATCTAGTTCCACCCCCGCCATATACAGGGACATATGCAGCATTCCTCTCTGGGACACTGAGTTTTGGATACTGGATTTTGCAGATGTTCAGGCTGGAGGTTCCCCAGGATGCCCAGCTGCAAGATCCAGTGCTGCATTTCTGAGAAACAACTCCGCCTTCTTTCCTACCCCTGCACTGCTCTGCATCTTCTCCTCCCAGCAAAGTACCATTTTCACAGGGTGTGATGTTGCAGCGCTGCCAGTTCGATGGTCTTGGCCTCCAGGAGCAGTGATGCTCCATCACAGGCTTGTTGGTGCGGATGTGCACACAGTCGACACGCCGGGACTGGAAGCCGTAGTTTCCACACGTAGCTGTGCAGACAGTCCACAAGCTGACCCTCCAGTGCACACCACAGATGTCAGTCCAGCAGTTCTGTGTGCTCAACGGCCTGTGGGCAGGAGGGAGGGAAGGATGGGGGAACAGCAAGCATCGCATATCCCAAAGGTAATCCACTCAGAGCCACTGCATGGATTCAAAGGGTGCAAGTGAAGTAACAATTTTTAACTGGTCTCAAGGACCAGACCCTCAGTGGATGCACACTGGCATCCTAATACTGGGTTAAATGACCATTTGAACTATTTGAGGATTTGGCTGAAATGTCCTCTTCATGAAGAGCCAAACCAGAGGTCTGCTGAAAGATGCAATGAGTGGTGACCAGTGTGGTCCAGCAGCACTTTATAACTTTTTATGGCTTTACAGCCAGTTGGAACAAAAAGGATTCTCTGAAACCCCTTTTTTCCTCTCAACACAGTCTCACAGAAGAGGCAAAGGCAAACTTGGTTCATATGTATTTGTCACACAGATAATGAAAATGCATGACTAAGAACCAATGAGCCAATTACATTAATTTTCAGTCATGATCAGTCATGACTGGTATACCTAAGGCTTAGGTAAAGACAATGTCTTTACAGTGTTGACAATGGAGTTCGCCCCAGTTAGAGTCTCTGTTTAAATAAGTGAGAAGAACTAGTAGCTTAAGGAGAGGTAGCACGGCCTTTCAGTCAGATTTGGCATGCACAGAAGACTTTCCAGACCCACTGGCACCTGGATCTCCTAGGAACAAATAAGGAAGCCTGGGCTTAAGCCTGATGAGATTCATAACAAATAATTGCACAGATTGCAGAATGACCTCTTTGTTACATAGGGGAAACGCGTAAGTTGTCATTTAAGTCACCAGTCCATTCAATATCTCTGAAAAGGTTGTGGATTCATACATAAGAGATGTCCTACCTTGGTAAGGCACTGCATTGATCAGATGACACAGAAGTCCCATCTTTGGTCTGGCAAAATATCTGTCTGTGCTGTACAGCCAGTCGTGGTCCAATGCAAGGCCCATTACACTGTGAACAGAGAAGAATCACTTCAGGGAGGTAAAAGGCAGGGCCACGTTCCCATTTATAGGACTGCTAGGGAAATGAACCGTACACTGCCATTCAGTGACTGTTGAGATTTCAAGCACTTTCTGTACCTCTGCAGGCATTGAAGGCTGAGTGTGCAGTCATCTTCTGCTCTACCTCACTCTCTTCCAGCAGCACTAAAACTGTATCTGCTCTGTAGATTCGTTACCTCTCCTCTACAATAGTTCAATCTTACAATACATCTGCTAGGGCAAATTAAATGCTCTTGTGACATCAGCCAAGAGCCTATGATCCATATAGGAAATCTCAATATACTACTTTTAATGTGCATTTTGCAGCTTGTACTATCACAACTTATGGCCAAATAACTAAGAATGCATTGAACCAAGAACATATTCCACTCCATTTATTAACTCTAAAGCACTGAAGGACAACAAGCAAATGCAGCAAGCATGACAGACACAGCAAATGTGCAAGCCTGCTCCAGTACTAAGGCTATCCTAACCTATTCAAATTTAACAACACATGTTTCTGTTTAACTTTTATAATTTCCTTCAATTAAAATGCAATTACCTATAGGTATGAAGCACTGTTTTTCTAAGTATCTGGAAATTACGTTCAAGAACAAACTGAGGGTTGAATAGTGGGATGTTACTGTGAGGCAGGAATTTTCACCAGGGGAGGGCTGCTGACTGATCCCTCTGCCACCTTCACCCCCTCATCAGTAGGAGCCCTGTTTCACATTACCACATACTTCTCAAAAAGTACTCCCTTACTCCTGCTATTTCTTCCTTCCCTGACAACTGGGAAGAGAAGCAGTGACTGCCAGGTCTCCAGCTGGTCCTAGTCAACGCTCTTGCTGGAAATATCATTCATTGGAGCACTTCTGCGGTATCTGCAGGGGCCAGCAGTCCTTACCACCATCAAGCCTGAGTCACTAGTTTAAAAACAGTATGGGATTACATAGAGGAGACCAAAATGCCAGTAACATTCAATGAAGGAAAGGAATTAAATTCTAGAGGTGAGGGTAGAGTATGTAGTCTGTTGATTTTCTTTGCAAACTAGGAAAGTTGGTCACTACACGAGGGCAACAGAGACCTGATACCTCACTAGACTATCAAGGAAGTCACTGAGTCAGTGATATGTTCCTAACTGTGTAACAGTCTTCTGGCTTGGAGACTGAGCAGTATAGAATCATGTGGAACTTCTTTTTGTTTTGTTTTGTTTTAAACTAGGTAGAAGAAATACTATATGACAATGCACAGAGGTTAGGTCTAAGAAATTATTTCTGAATTGATTGTCTCATCTGAGTATGATGTCATGGGGAATAATACATATGTTCTACATAATGCTCTACAAATATGGAAGAGGTAATTGTGTTTTTGCAAGGATAATCCAGTCCTTTCCTGGAATTCCACAGGGAGTGAAAATTTGCTTCTTTCACATGAAAGGATAACTTCAAGCTTTACTCATAAATGTAATACAATAACTCAATTACCTTTCAAGAGTTAAATGAAGTTGTTTTCAACTAGTGAACAATAACATGAACAAAGTAATAAAACTTAATGCAACACAATCTGCAAAGAGAGAATCTGAAGATCTGCAAAGCAGCATGAAGTAATCTTAAAATGTTTCTAGCCCTCCATTCTGCATTTCATCATGAAGCAAATCAAGAAAGCTCACAATTTTGGGCATTCTCAGGCAACACTAGCAACTTTGTAAAACTGGGTTATTATAAAATCTTTCTGCCTCAAACCTATCACAATCCTCAATCCTGACTCCTGCCAGCCAAGGAGTCACTGGCTGGTAAGATGACTTAAGACTTAAAGAAAGCTATTTCCCAATGTGTCATCTGTCACTATAAGAAGGAACTGCAGACCTTTCCACTGGGGATGATATGGGGTTTGCAGTAAATGTCCTGTTCACAAGCAGCATTTCTAGGGAAGCTACAGAAATCCAAGCAGGTCATCATACACAGAGTTGTAAGAGCTGAGCAAATTAGTTGCCTCCTCAAAAGTCTGCAAACTATAACCTAAAGACACCAGGTTGCAAAATCACTTTACTTATTTTCTGTCTCTTTCTCCTAGTCCATAGTACGAGGCTGTCCTTGGACTGCTGCATTGTTCCTTACCTGGCTCCAGGAGGAGGCCACCCACTCAACACAGGGCTGCCTGTTACAGTTCTGTGTGTCCACAGGGCGCCTGGACACCTGGGCACAAGCCTCATTTGACATTGGGACAGAGCTGCCTTTTGCTGTCAGGCGCTGACAGGTCACTCGCCGCATCTGGATGCCTCCACCGCAGCTCCGCGTGCAAAGAGACCATGACGTCACCATCCATCTGTGAGAGAAAAGTGAACAGGTCAGGGAGCAGGTATGTGCCACCATCTGCAGGATAACTGGCATCATCAGGTCTTTATATATTGGGCCATTGGGCCATAGACAGGCAACAATAGCTTGGTTCATTTAGGGGGTGATCCTTGAAGGTACTGAGTGTCTCAGCCTCCCGTAGTAGTCACTGAAAACTTCTCAGAAGATGAGAGCTGAGAAAAAAGCACAATTTTCATTAATTTATCTTTCTCAGGGCTCTTTGGACCTCCAATTAATTTTTTAGCTCTTAAGGCTGTTTTTAGAGGCTTGGCACAGGGTTTGCGCATGGCTGCTCTTACACCACTGTACCACAGACACCTCGGTCAAAGGCTGCAGTCACCAATGCCAGCAAGGACTAGCCCAACAGCACCCTTTAATAGGGAAAACTACCTCTGTAAAGTTGCTGGGGCAGCTCGCAAGTCACTTTGAACTTCCTGCTGAGAGAGTAACAAAAAGTCTGGTCCTGCTGGTGCTTGCCTGCTCTGTTAAACCCCCGACAGCTAGGACAATCCAGAAAAGCCTAAAGATTGCTCAGGGATGGTCAGCCCAGGGGACAAAAGACACTGTTTTCCTTTCCTCTTGACCTCAGACCATGCATTCAGTAGCTGAGGCTGAGGTTCTGAACCCCTATGTAGTGGCATTTAAAAAATCTAGTCTAACTAGCTAAAAGGCTGTAACAACAGAAAATAATAGTCCTATACATTTTGCTACTTTAAGGATCATTACGTGAAACACTCATACAGTCAGGTTTGCGAAAGAGTTAGGAATAGGAAGAATGTAACTGATTGCTAGTTTCCTGAACAGTTTTATAGTCAAGTCAGAGGTTTGCTTCATTAAGTGTCTGGATCCTGGGTAGGATTTGTGTGGTTTGGTGAGTGAAATAATAGCTATCACATCCCTCCCCTAAGTGTTTATGATCACTTTACAAAATAGGCAATAGGCATTCTCCAGTCCCATGGAGAGGTGTTCATTTCTATTTCTCAGTCTTTTGCAGGTGATTAACTCCCATGGTCACAAAAACAGGCATAAACAAACATACTCTCAACATATACAATAAAAACACTGACACTTTTTTTGGTTTGGTGAGGTTGAACCTTCAATTTCTGCACTGGTCATAAAGCTCTGCTCTGCATGCCAATCAACTTTTATTTCCAAGCTTACATCTCAGCAGTTTCTCAGGAGTTGAGGGAGGATTTTGGGTTGTGTTACAATTCGGGGAAGGTATAAAAAAGACACAAACCATTCCCATGGAATTTACTGCCATCAAAAACTGCTGCTAATGAATGGGTTTCATATTTCATCAAATCTCTTTTGGTTTCTTTCTTATGACTCAACTGGCAACTGAGAAAACATTTGCCTGCAAAGAAGGGTAGGAATATTTATTTATCCGAGTATTTATGGACAGTTTTAATAGTTTTTAATGTATTTAATATTTATTATAAGAGTTATATTCATATTTATATTGTAAGGTTTTATTCCCCTCAGGAATTACAAGTTTCTGATTGGTTAAAAAGTGGTTAGCTACGATTGGACGGCTAGTACCGCAGTATAGGTGGGCATAGGTGAGGCGACTTGTTATGTTATTGGTTATTATAATGGCGCGCTATGTTTGTACGGGTTTTATTGGTTGTACCCCCTGTCACTCATGTAACTCCTCCCTTTGTTCTAGTCCCTTCTTCCCCAAACCCCCGTTCTCCCCTCGGGCGAGAGCGACATTTTATCCCTAGAGGGTGTCGCATGTCCCGGGAGCCCCCATCATTTTTTCCCTGGGATTAATAAATCATCAATAATTCATCGAACCCTCATGTCGCTCATCTCCTTCTCCGCTCTCGGGCTGCGGCATTAAACCATGTCCCTAAGTGCCAGATCTACACACCTTTTAAACAGCATGATGACTCAACCACTTTCCTGAGCAGACTGTTTGAATGCTTGACTACCCTTTCCATGATGAAATTTCCCCTAACAGCCAATCTAAATCTCTCCTGGTGCAACTTGAGGTCCATTTCTTTTGTTTTATCATTTGTTACTTGGAAGAAGAGACTGATCCCCCCTTTCACTACAACTTCCTCTCAGGTAGTTGCAGAGAGGGAAAAGGTCTCCCCTGAGCCTCCTTATCTTCAGGGTAAACAATCCCATCTCCCTCAGGTGCTTCTCACAGGATTTGTGCTCCAGACACTTCACCAACTTCTCTGTCCTT